GGGTTGGGAACCTATGGCCCGTGAACCAGATGTGGCTCTTTTGATGATTGCATCTGGCTCTCAGATAAATTTTAGCTGGCATTTAATGACAGTACAATAAATTAAGAAAAAGAAAATATATGGAAACACATTTTAACATAGGTGACTTTTTTTGGCTCTCTCTGCTAAAATGGTTCCCAACCCCTGTTCTAAAGTGTACATGAAATACAAAGTGAATGACCGGGGGAAAGACACTAGACAACTTGTATACAAACAGAGCAAGACTGACATAAAAAAACTTTTTTCCCAGACTTAACCAACATTGACTTAAAATAGTCCTTTCCATAATAAACATACAATCAAAGTTTCAATAGGCAAAGAATATTAGAACAGCAATATGTATCGCTGTCTGAACAGCATTGTGTGAATTATATGATTAAACTGGAAATGATTGACTAAAACATTTCTTCATTCTTGCCTGACATGCTCTACCTTCTGACAAAAGGATCATACATTCCTGCCTATTAAGCAAGAGTCCAACCTTAGATTTAGACAATCTGAGATTTAATGTTGACCAATATACATAATTCTTTTTTTTTTTACCAAAAAAAAGTACTCCAACATCTGTGTTATCAAGTATGTACTTTGAGATATTTAGGTAAACTGTTGTACCATTTTGATAGTGCTGCATCTCTTGCTGCTCCTCCATGGCAGTGCCATAGCATTTCCTATCGTGTTCCTGCAGATTGCTTACTGCCCCTTCTACACAAATGTCTTCATCCGATTTCTTCGGCTGTTGTGTCTCTTCGTGAATCTTATTCCCCACCCTTTTATGTTCTGTAGTGGCTCTTTCAAGTGTGTTTTCCTCTTCTCTTAACTTTTCCTTCTGGCCATCTTGCTCTGTTTCCTTTTGTACTTTTTCTTCAACGTCTATAGGTACATAAATCAAATATGCTTCAGTTTCAGCAAATGATAACTTTAAAATAAGCATTACAACAGTTGGAAAAAGTCAGAGACACAATAAACCTACAAAATAAAACAAAATATCCAAATTCACAATTCCAGAAAAATTGCACATGACCTGTAAAGGAAAAGTTGCTTAAAAATAATCATAATAAACTGAGACACATGAGATTGACATACAGGGAAATGTGATTAAATGACGAAGTATGGTCGTCACCATGGACAGAGACCAGATGTAGTCCCACACAGAGCAGCTGGTGGAGCTGGCAGTCTTCCCCAGCACACCCTTTTTGTTGGGAATGGAGCTTGATTAAGAGGGATATACAGTGTTCCAGCAAGGATCCACAAGTGTACACACCAGGCGATCATGTATTCAGGCTGCCAACAGTCTTTTATCCACACAAGTTTGTTTTGGCCTGGGGTTTTTGATACGTTGGTGGTGGTAGAGGAGCGATATGTGCACTGGTACCATGTTGTGACTCTGCTGTGTAGACAGTTACATTTAAATAACTTCACTGGCCAGGGCAAAGATTCCTCTGATGGATGTCCTCTCATCGTTTCAGGTGGAAGGAGAGAAGGACCATCAGTAGAGCTCAATGGCCTCAGTATAACAAGGGTGGTCGCTCTTTGTCTGGGTTGGTTAAGCTCACACTCACAACATGGCTCTTCCTGACACTGCTTGACACAAGCAGTCCTTGTTAGAGTTAACTGATTTTACTGTACCTTAGCACATCCTTGTGTGCATACATACAGTATAACCCTTTTTTTTTTAAAACCTCTGTGAGTGTGTATATGGCAACTTCTCTTTCTCTCTCTCTCTTCTCCCTCTTGTATACACACATACGCACACCAAACCATATTACATAACTATGTATGCCTTGTCTGTATATTGCTGTCAATCAATATTCATGTATTCAACAGCTATTATTCAATTAATTGTGTTGTTATCATAAATGTGATTGTTTTGACAAACTGTGTTTGTCTGTGTTGCTGCTTTATTCATTGAAGCCACCCAAATTGAATAATAGTTGATACTCCAACTACCTTCACCCATTCTGATTTTATGTGAATGATATATAGTGTATAGGCAATATGGAGACAAACAGAACAACAAACAGTCATTTTTTATGGTTATTCCTTTCTAAAATATATTTATAATATGATGTATTAGGGCTGTCTGTTTTCTAATTCTCTGTGATTAGTCTCACTAGTGTCACCTGGTGCCCTGGGAATATGTACCTCTCTCCCTCACTCTGTCTTTGTGAAATCATTGTTCATTGGTCAGTTCATGTGATTCAATTCGTGTTCAGTGTTTATAGTCCATGTGTTGCAGAAGTACACGTTTTGGAGAAGGCCATGCCTTGTAGTTTATGCAGTGTTCTGTGACCAAGTGAGTATTTGTTGTTTTGGCATTTTGCTGCACCTGAAGAGAGTCTCCCTTGTGCTGCATTTGGGTCTTGCCTGCTTCCTGTGATGACGACAAACAACAGAATGATCCCACCGGAACTGGACCCAGGAAGCTGGGTCCAGTTCCGGTGGGATCATTCTGTTGAAAGTAGCTTAGCAGCTTACTTTCCAACTCAGATGCCAGGTTTTTTAAATTCAAGCAAATAAGTGCACAGTTTAGTGCTATGGTGCGTGACCATGGCTTGGTGTCCTTTTTGTGATGATCAAAGCCAATTTTAAATGTTCTTTTAATGTTTGTATCATTTGTTCTTTCATTTTTGAAAAGTAAGAGTTTTTTGCAATTAAAAATTTAGAAAATTTATGGCATTTAGAAAACGTATATGATAGGGGGCCTCGGTAGGAAATATGGAGCAATGTTTTGTTTTTTTCAATGTGTTCAATGTGTGTTTTAATGTGGAGACTAAAAAAAGTTTTTGTCTTTTGTCGACTTTTCCCTTCTTAACTTCCTTTTCTTAGTCTTGTTTCTACAAGCCTTCCCATACCTACCTTGTATGTCTATTCAACTTTATGCTTCTGTACAGATACAGCCACCTAGGTTTTTCCATGCCACGAGGAAACCTTGACAATTCTGTGACTGGAGTGATGCCGCCACCTGTAGGGTGTCCCATTTCCCATCGAAAACTGAAACAATTATCCTCAATGTATCAATGTAAAATGGAATCATCTGTTCCTGGACCCTAAGTGATTGCTTATTTAAACTTTTTCAACAGTATTTTGTGTACAGGTTCATACATATAAAAAAATGAACATAATTAGATCGAACAATCTAATAAACAAGATAAAGACAATCTAATAAAAAATAAAGCTATTAATAGGAAAGGCAATGTTATTCATTCTTATCGATGCTTAGGAGTCGTGATGTTATGTTAAGGATGGCACAAATCAACAACTTTGCTAAGCCATACTGTAAAACCAGATCTGAATGCCATTCTCATGCTTTCGTGTTATCTTTCTTCACTTCTATTGTTGTTCTCACTATTTTTTGTCGCCTTTCCCATGGTGATTTATGAAATACAAAATATAGAAGAGATAGCATAATGCAAGAAATACCCGCAAAATGAGACAAGAGTTTTCGGGATATACACGCTAAGACAACAGTTCTTAGCGTGTATATCCCAAGTGCTGGCTGAGGCAAGACTGCCGCTTCACACTCAGTCACTTATTGATCACTTGCTGCCTGCGTCGTAACATAACCGAGTTTTGGTACAACAATTGGGACAATTTTTAGTTTAAAATTTTGTTTGAGAACTGATTTTTTCGAAAAGGGAGCCGTTCGACAACTGAGGTTCCACTGTACTTGTTTACCTTGACACCACCGCTGTTGCTCGCAGAGTGATCTTCACTACTACAAGAAGCTCTTGGCTGTTCATTACAATCTAATTCAACAATAGGACTACCAAAGTATTTTGGTTACATGACAAAAACTGAAACAAAAAAGGTTTTTGATGTTTAAACTTTAAATAATGTAGCAGTGTGTACATATGGTAATTCAGCTTTGCTGTTTTGTGACTCCTTACTTGCTCATTCACTCATTTAAACGAGTGACACAGAGAAAACAAAGGAACTGACATAATTTACAGTCTTATATAGCACTGTACACAATACAGTAATATACAGATGGCCAAAGGACCTTTAATTAATTATTTATTGTAATAATTAATTACTATTACTGCAGCTTTCTGAAGTGCATAAACAATAACAAACAATTGGACATCATACATTATTCAATAAATTGCAGTACCGAAAAGACAAAATCTAAGCAGATTCCTTAACTGATTATTTTCATTTTTAAGCTGCTGTTTAAACAAAACAAATCCAAAATAATAATAATAATAATACGTTTCAGTTATACATGTGTGGGGAGGAAATAACTGTTTTCTTACCAAAACTGAAAACAAATTTAACATGCACATCTGTGGGGTAATGCACAATAGTAAAATAATGATATGCAGGCTAACTGGCAGGTAGTGCCACTAATTTAGTCTGTTCATCTTGACTTAATTGGTTGCACCTATGCCGAGCCAGGATGAAATGGAAGCTAAATATTGAAATTGAAAATAGAGCTCAGAGTTGCTCACAGAATCACCAATGGGAAAATGGATAACAGTTATATTTCATACTCAACAACAGCTCCTGATGTAATTTTATAAAGAGGTTAAACCAGGTGTGGGCAAACTTTTTGACTCGCGGGCCACAACAGGTCCTAAAATTTGACGAGGGGCCGTGTCAGGAGCAGATGGAGTGTTCGTATGACATGTAAAAGTCATAAAGGCTTAAATGCTAAAATGCTTTTAGCCTTATCTACACCATCTTAGGAGAAATGAGTGCATTGCAGAGAAAAGGCAGAAGTATAATGATAATAGAAATTACATATAACATAATTTGGACACGTTTGGTGAGCCTGATTACAAAGCCAAACGAGCCACATTAGGTCCCCGGGTAGTTTGCCCAGGTATGTCTAAACTACAGTCAGTTGCATAACAACATAGAAAATAATCATTGACACCAGTGGATGTACCTAAACATGAGAAATGTCTTCTTTGTGGTCTATTTAGTCTGAATCATTCTTCAAATATATTATCTGAAGGAGGAATGCGTCTGGGTATATTGTGAAGTGTATTGCAGTGTGATGACACATATTCTATGGTATTTTATGGTTTAAAGTACTGTATTTTGCGGTTTAGACTGACAAGAGCAAACAGGGTTGTTCTTTTTCAGATCATTGTTTGCGCCATCAGGGGATATTCCATTGACCACCCCCAACTCCGGCCAAACTTTGGTCCTGATTCGTGGGTATATTCTAGGTGGCTGTATCTGTAAGTTCTTACAACTCTGCACATCAGGTAAATTTGACTATTTGACAAAAAGGGGCAGTGCATAAATGTTGTTACCTTTAGCATCCTGGGCCTTCCATAATTCTCTGTTTTGTTGTATTTCTTGGTTCCATGTCATCTCGAAGCTTTTGAAGTCAACTGTGGTCAGAACACAGATGGGCTCTGGAGCTGCACACCTTTTTTCATCACTGCTGGTAAACCTGTTGACGCTTCAGGCAAACGTGCAAAACATGGACAACATTAGCACTAATAAAGCTGGAAGAATTACTTTACTGTAATTTTAAGCAAGTTTAAAGAGCTAAACAAGTTTACATACCATTATGATATTTACCACTGATACCCACATTGAGTGTTTTTAGATTACTGGTGCTCAATGAATGAAAGAAAGTACACTGTTGCAGCAGCAAACATTAACTTTGACACTGAAGGGAGACAGGTCACATGACTTCGTTAGACTAGAGTCATGAATGTGATGATTATGGACTCGATTTGACCAAGAGTTCACAGAGACTTGTAACACGACATGGACTTTAACATCAGTGAACTGTGACTTCACTTAGACGTTATGACTTGAAAAGACTTGCTACTTTCCTCTTGCTGTATACAATGAAAGAATGAATGAATGCGCTCCTTAATAGTCACCATAACGGGCTTAAAAACACCACGTCCTTAAAGTTACACTGGTCATTGTTCTCACTCTCCAGCAAATCAGAGTCAATTGATAAAAACAGCTAGTTTACCTTGCCGGTAAACGTGAGTTGTTGGTCTATGTCACAGGTATCAAACTCAGGCACGTGGGCCAAATCTGGCCCCTGGTGTAATTATATTAGGCCCGCTAGATCATGTCAAATGTGTAAGAGCTGGCCTGCCATTATATACAGTAGCTGGTATATACTGTCAGGATTAGTAGTAATAGCGATGTATAGCACATACATTTTTGTTGACCTGTAAAAATAGATTTACATTAAAAAGGAACCCAAGAGATGGAAAGAGACATATAAAAAACAAATACCACATGTTTTATTTCGAATTTTTTTTTTCTCATGTGTTAATAATATTAAACTTTGGTTGTTCCAGATTTAATGTTTGTTTAGCATTTTTTTCCCTGTGGAAATAATTCAACATTAAATATCTAGAGAGAAAGGAAAAAATGCACATTTCCAGTCAATTTTTCAATGAATATTGAGTTTGGCCTGCGTCTTCCTCCCAATTATTAATTTTGGCCAACTGTGAAATTGAGTTTGACACCCCTGGATTAAATGCTTTCGTACTTTCATGGTGTACATGGCTGCAGTGACTTTCTTATTCTTTATGAACTATCTTCAAAATAGTCAGCCCTTGTAAATGTCTGGATTCATTGACTGCGGGAGGCAGCGGCCAGGCAATCAGAGTTCATAATCAAGCTGACAAGAGTGATTTGGCTAGAGTGCGGCCACAGGTCTGCTCATTTTCTGCAATTTAGGCAATGGTACAGTGCTTAGAGACGGTATGATTGCGAGTGAGTGTGTCCTTAAACTGACATTGATTTTATTACATTTGCCTCTTTTAGGTGGCTTGAATATGTTTCACCGTCGTTGGGGTCTGCAGCTAAACATATTTAGCAGTCCAATACACTTATTTACAGATCTACAGATTTGAAGAATGCTAGATGAACAAAAGCATCACAGTAATCCATAACAGCCTTCAATCCTTATAATTCTAAAAGATATGTGGTATATAGCTCTTGTTAAAAAATGACTGGATAGTTATGAAGATTTATTATTTTATTCTGAAATGTTTTTTATGAATAAACATTAATTTCATGCCTATTCACCTGGAGTGGTGGAATTCAGAGGGAGAAACCTCTTCAATAATTGGTTTCACAATCTTCTTTACCATTTCAGACAGCACAGTAAATGTTGGCTCCACGATGAAATCAATGAATCCTGCAGGAAAAAAAAAAACGGTTTACTTTTATTTTCCCAGGTGAAGACAAATACAAATTAGAAGTTTATATTTCCAAAAAATCCATATATATAATAATGGATACTGAGAAGTATTGTAACAGCATTGTAGTATGTTACATTTTCAGTTTAAATCATCAAGGCATCATTTTAAAATAAATAGTTTGTATCTGGACTTGAAATTCAGATTCAAACAAAAAGCCTGTGTGAGCCTACATTTAGCTAGAAAACACAAAATCATATTTTTCAATATTGGACACACTTGAACAAAAGAAAATACACCTCAGTCAGTTTCACTGTCAAAAATAAATTTCTCTAATATTTTAAGATTTTAATGTAGAAAATTAATTATTCTTTTAACATAAAAGTTACTCAATCACAATCAAGTCTATCTTTCAAACTTGATGGTGATGCAGACAATAAACAAGGATATATATATAGACAATAAACAAGGATATATACTGTATATACTGTATATATATATATATATATATATATATATATATAATAAAGTGTTACAGCCTAATTTCCAGTTCCAACCCAAAGATGTAGAATGAAGTGTCTCTTACCAATTTGTGATTGGGCCACTAAAGTGGAGTTGCGGTCACACAGAGGGGAAAAGGGGAGACCCAGATTTGCTTCTTTATCCCCCTGTAAACAAATTTAGCATTGCACTTTTAATTTTAAATGGTTTAATATGCAAGCACAAAAATATTTTTTTTGAGAATATTCACAGTTTAACAAAATGTGTCAAAATAACAAGTGGGAAAACTGCGGTATATGTTTAAGGTGGTTTATGTGTGCTTGTTTGTCAAAATAACAAGTGGGAAAACTGCTGTATATGTTTAAGGTGGTTTATGTGTGCACAACTTCCAGTGGACAAGTGTGTTGCTTTTCCGACTTCATCACAATTGTCATAAAATCCTTGTTAAAAAAACATTATTAAAACCTCTTCCTGTCACCATAGCATTCGGTGTCAGGAGGTCGGATAAACATCACTGCTGTATCTCCTTGGACCAGGTGGAAAAGGACAACTGGCTTACAGAAGTGTCAATGTGTACAAGGACAGTGGCCCCAGAAATATGTTGTGCCCCTGACCCCCTCCAAAAGAGTTGGCATTGCCAACTTTGGTCAGTTGGAGAAGAGTGTTGGGTAACTCGCCCGGCATTGCCTCTCTGTCTTGGTGAATGTGTGTTCGCCTTATGTCATCCAATGTTCCCACACAGCTGGCAATTTAACTTTGAATGCCCTTTTAACACCAATATTTAGCAGTTTGAATTCTGTGGTTAATCCACCCAGAATGATGGCAAGCCACAAAGCACGACGCTACGTTGCACGGATTTGGGTTACACAACCATACTGAAATAAGTTACGAGTAAGCAACTTTTGCAAGATTTTACTCGTGATACGAGGAAACATTGAGTTCTGAGTGCTCAACTTAGCTCCATTTTTCAACTCGTCACAGTCGCGCTCACTGTCCCTCGCTTGGTTATTTTACCCGTTAATTTATTTCTTTCTTTCCCTTTAGCTCTCTCTCTCTCGCTTTCTATCATTATTATTGCCGCTGCGGTGCTCTGAGCATGGCACCGTCCCCACACACTGCTCCCTGGGCTGCCCACTGTTCACGTTGGTGATGGGTTAAAAACAGAGGTCACATTTTGTTGTGTGCAGTGGTATGCTGTGTCACAATGACAAGTAGTCATTCACTTCATTCTGAAGGTCTGATAGGGCCTTGCTGTATTTTTATTGTTTTATCACTTGCTGACTAAGACAGACTAAGAATGAGCAAGAATCCAGGGGAAAGAGGTAAAGTACACAGAAACAAAATAAAACAAAACGTTCAACTTATCAGCGATCAGATTTGAATAGAAGACTTTGAGAAAGAACCTCAAAATAGGCAGCAGAATATATTAAAAAGAATACCTGTATAAAGAACTCCTCCAGTAGAGATGTGGTCCACTGGTAATGGATTTCCCAGGTTTTTGCAGGGTGGCTAATGTCAGCAGTGTGCAACAACAAAGACAAGGCCTTTTGTTTCTCTATCCTAAAAAATGAATTAAGTCATTATTGATAGGATATTATCTATCTATGTCATGTTTAATCATTAATTAATTAATTGATCATGTTCTAACCAGAGAAATCAAATAACCTAAATAGTAATGTATATCGCAGTAAGAGAAGCACAAAAAATAGCATATAGATTTTTCCTTTCACATGTTTTGATCCTAATCTTTAATCATTTCACAAATTTCCTCTGAGGCCATCCTGTTCTCCTCTCAACTACTTCTCTTCCAATATAATAACTCCATCTTTGTTCAATATACTGTATTCACTCTCTTTTCTTAACACATGAACAAACCATCTCAACCTCCCTCCTCTCCATCCTGGTCACTACCAGCAGAAATCTCAGTATCTTCATCTGTGACAGCTCCAACTCAACCCAGGACAAGAGATACATATGATGGAATTATTACAATGGAAAATGTCTCAACAATATCTTAATGTTTAACTCAAATTACTCAGTTTTGTGACATAGAGTGAATTTAAGTTAACTGTGCTGAGAGTGAGAGAGCTTCAAAATATGGTTGAAAGCCTTGTTCTCAGCCATACTTGATTCACAGTCCCTCAGAAATTCTTCAACCAATATGCAATTGTAATGGCATACTATTGCTGCTCCATTGAGTAATTGGGTTGCTTTCACTGATTATGTTTATAATTGGTAATAAACATAGACAAACTTTGACCTAAAGCTGTTTCCCTCATGCCCAGTTATACCACTACTCACTTGTCAGGCTGTTGCAGGAGGCTCTTCATGTTTTGGATTTGCTGGAAGTGGCATGACATGTCAGTTGCCAACACCATCTCAACTACCAGAGTTCTCAGGTCTCTACAAATGTGAATAAGAAAGGAATTACACTTAATCAAACACACTGCAAAGATGTGTTGCAGTGACTTTGTATGAATGCAGATTTTGTTATATCATTCATACGGTAACTGCTAAGTGGTTCCTTGGCGATTTGTGGCAAATGTTACATGCTTACTTTGCATTGCGAGTGAAGTGACACATCACTACTAATGACTACTGTGATTATGTGGCTAATCAAATGTTTTAGAGGGTTTAGTATTGTTCTGAACATCATCCTGGAGGTTGTACTACTGTAATCCTCCTCTATTCATAATGCATTATCTATTTCTCTTTAGCATCTACAAAGTAGAAGCTTCAAATACTCTGTCTGCCTTGATCTGTTACATTCATCCACTTTAAAGATGCCCTCAAGTTATGGATCTGGCATTCTATTCATATAGTATATCTTGCCAAATATTTAATGCATTGTCCTCAATTAAATTGTATCTGACAGTTCTGATGAAAATATATTTTTCTTTTTCTTTCGGCTTTGTCCCTTTTTCATGGGTTGCGACAGTGAATCATTGATTTCCATCTCTCCCTGTTCTCTCCATCTTCTAATCTGACTCCAACTATCTACATGTCCTCCCTCACTGCATCCACATATCTCCTCTTTGGCCTTCCTCTTTTTCTCCTACCTAGTAGCTCCATCTCTACCAGTCTTCTACCAATGTATCCACTGTCCCTCCTCTGCACATGTCCAAACCATCTCAATCTGGCCTCTCTAGCCTTTTCTCCAAACCTTCCTCTCTGTGTTGTCCCTCTAATGACCTCATTCCTGATCCTGTCCATTCTTGTCACTCCTAAAGAGAATCTTAGCATCTTTAACTCTGTCACCTCCAGCTCCGCCTCCTGTCTTCTGCCTATTGCTACTGTCTCTAAACCATACATCATGGCTGGTCTCACCACCATCCTGTAAACCTTTTCCTTCACCTTAGCTGACACTCTTCTATCACAGATCACTGCTGACACTTTTCTCCAGCTGTTCCATCCTGCCTGAACTCTATTCTTCACCTCTCTTCCACAGTCTCCTCTGCTCTGAACAGTTGATCCTAAGTACCTAAACTCCTGCACCTTCACCACCTCTGCTCCTTGTAACCTCACTACACTCACTTTCACAAATCTTCATTGTGTGGCTCGTCAACTTTATTCCTCTGTAGTTGTTTCAACTCTGTGTATCACCCTTCTTATAAACTGGCACCAGAGCACTTTTCCTCCACTCATCAGGCATCTTGTCAGTCTCTAAAATTCTGTTAAACAACCCAGTCAGGAAACTCTCCTAAACACTTCCATACTTCCACTGGTATGTCATCGGGACCAACTGACTTTACACTCTTCATCCTCTTCAGGGCTTTTCTAACTTCATCCTTTCTAATCTGATCTACCTTCTTCCTAATAGTCTCTGGTTCCTCGTTTCTACTTTCCCTTTCATTTTCCTCATTTAACAACTCCTCAAAGTATTCCTTCCATCTTCTCAGCACACTTTCCTCACTTGTGATCACATTCCCCTCTCTGTCCTTAATCAACCTCACCTGCTGCACATCCTTCCCAGCTTGATTTCTCTGTCTCGCCAATCTATACAACTCCTTTTCTCCTTCCTTTGTTTCCAAACTCTCATACAACTCCTCATATGCCTTTTGTTTGGCCTTGGCCACTTCACTCTTCACCTCCCCTGTTCTCTCTTTGTACTCCAGTCTGTTCTGTTCTCTTCTGTTCTGTCACTGTCCCATCTTCTTCACCAATCTTTTTCTCTCTTTTTCTACACTACCATCCGATGTTGTTTGGCTACACTCTCGCCTGCCACCACCTTACAGTCTCTAATTTCCCTCAGATGACCTCTTCTACATAGAATATAATCTATCTGTATGGCCCTGCCTCCACTCTTGTACGCCATCCTGTGTTTCTCTTTCTTTTGGAAATATGTGTTTACCAAAGCCATTTCCATTCTCTTCGCAAAATCTACCACTGCCTGTCCTTCCAAGTTGCTCTCCCTAACACCAAACCTACCTATCACTTCATCTCCTCTGTTCCCAACCCCTACATGACCATTAAGGTCTGCTCCAATCACCACTCTCTCTCCCCTGGGGATTCCCTCTATCATCCAATCCAGCTCCTCCCAGAACTTCTCCTGTTTTTAAACTCACAGCCCACCTGTGGGGCATAACCACTAACAACATTAATCATCTCTCCTTCTATTTCTACCTTCACACACATCAACCTGTCTGACTCTCGTTTCACCTCTACCACATTTCTTACATATTCGTCCTTTATGATCACCCCTACTCCATTTCTCTTCCCATCTGAACCATAATAAAACAGTTTGTAGCCTCCTCCAATGTTTCTAGCCTTGCTGTCCTTCCACCTGGTCTACTGCACACATAAAATGTCTACTCTTCTTCTCTCCATCATATCAGCCAATTCTTTACTTTTCCCTGTCATTGTACCTACATTCAGAGTTCCAAACTTCAGACCAACACTTCTATTCTTCCTCTTTTCTCTTTTTCTCCTAACCAAATGTCCTCCTCTTCTTTTCTGTCTTTGACCAACAGTAGCCCAATTTCCATCAGTGCCCTGTAGGTCAACAGCACTCTTTGCAGACGTTTTTGACCCGGGCCCGACCGATCTGGTATGGAAAACGTTTTAATTTGCATTTTTTGATTTGGCAAAGGTTTTACACTGGATTCCCTTCCTGACACAACCCTCACCATTTATCCGGGCTTGGGACCGACACTATAAAACACTGATTTGTTTACCCAAGTGGCTGGTTTAGGTCTGATGAAATGATGATGCTTGTTGATACTTGTTAGCCGTCTATCTGGTAAGACTGCATTATCGCATACACAGAACACTAGCTGTTTCACTACTGTACAAATCAGAAGAGTCCTCACTACAATCTGCAGTGTTATCAACATTGCTCTTATTATTTTTTGGTGTTTTGCATTCAGGGTAAAGCAGCAATGGTACAAATGTACACACAGCCTCCAGACAAGCTGTTGCAATTTCATGTATTACCACCACCGACTGTGCCTCTCTCCTTTTAAATACCACCCAATTAACCAATAACTACACATTTTATAGTTATACATTATAGTTATAGTTATTTTACAGTTATAATTATGACTCACCCCCACACCAAACCCTATTTTCCCCCATCCCAAGATAAAACGTAAAAGCAGAGCGTTCCCATGCTTCCACACAGACAGGGAAGCAGCAACAGTAGGTACCTCACTGTTCACTCTGATAAATGGATTTTGTTGGTGATTTGCAGTGTTGTAGTAGTTGGCGTACGCTGGTTTAACTTTAACTCTAAATGCTAATCAGTTTAGCATTTAGCCTGCCATTGTGTGTGTGTTGTGGGTAGTCTGGGTCACCATAACACCATTTCTGCTGTGTTGTTTTGAGTGGAGGATGCAAAAATGTTCTTATAAACCTAAGGGGGGTACAGCAGAGAAAGTTTGGGAATAACAGATGAAGGGGATAACTATGGTCACATCTTTATTACTGTTCTCTGTCCTATCTTTATTTTTTTGTAATGGTAGTTTCATTTAAAGGCACAAATCTTAAGTTCTGCCCATGTGTGATTGTGTTCCTTCACCTTTGGCTCCTTATGTGATTGTATGTGGTTGCCCCTTTGATTCACTGTCCTGATAACACATGGGGGTGAAACAATAGATATCAGTCATTGTGAGTGGTCATACGTAAACCGAAACATTGAGGCTTTGAATCCAGAAAAGCCAGTGTTTTTTTTGTTTTTTTTTACTGGTAAACTAATTGCATGTGTTTACTGCATTACTGTTCTTGTTAAAGGTACAATGTCTTGTATATTAATATTAGGCAAAGTGTCAACCTTTTATCTCTACCAATGGTTGGGTGCAATCACAAAACCATGTCACTTATTTAAGTACAAGGCCATTTGTCTCTTTTCAACTTCTTAAGATATTGTATGACATGGATGGTTCAGAACCTACACAAATGCACCGTTTTATGTTTTAACCACTATATAAAAAATTGAAGACATGTTTATCTATGTTTCATATTAGATCCAAGTTTAAAGTAATTCGAGCTCACCTCCAATCATCTTTGTTAAGATTCGTGAAGATATTTTTTTCATCATCATCCTGTAGAAGACAATAGGCAGCACTGATATGGTGGTTCTCTTGAACAGCACGGTCATTGTACAACATTGCAGTTTGTGATCTGCAAGTCAAACACAGTTATGTCTATTATGAAACACACTAAAGAAAGCAATTTGTAAAACTTTGAGAACAATTTAACCTAAAAAGATTATATCTATTGTTGGGACAACCACAGTCCGGTTTAGGACTCTGACTCCCATAATTCCATTGCTTCTGGGAAACCCACATATGTCATGATCAGTAACCTCCGGAACATTTAAATTGGGGGGGTCAGCCCCAGTTTCTTTCTCTGTTTTTGGGATTCTCTCCTCGTCGGACACCTGATAAAAAGATACTTTATCCTTCCAGAATAAGACTTAGTGTACTCTTACATTCACCACAGGCTGCAATGAAAAGTGTGATAGCTAAGGTCGTCTAATTTGAATTCAAACCAGTTAATTGGGTTATTTCCAAAATTTTCGTTTTATTGCAGGCCAGGCAGTAATCAAAAGTTAGAAGTGACCGGATTCCTTCTCAACTTCATTGCGTGAACCAGCGCAATCATCAGTCAGAGACTTTCCTCCCAAGACAGACTTTCAAACCAAGAGGACCCTCTACACACAGTGGAACTGTGCGGACGCTCCTCATCCCACAAGGACCTAAGAAGTGCAGAGATTTCCCTGCGTTAAGATACGAGCAGATGTTAGGGTTAGGGACAGTTCAATTGTGCACATTGAAGTTTTATTTTTAGTATTGTTAAGTGATAATTAAACTTAGGGACAGTTCAATTGTGCACATTGAAAACACTATGAGTGTTATTGAATTGTGTTGTTTCTAGTAATCTGTGCTTCTTCTGTAGAATAGGTTATTGGATGCTCTATCTCTTCTTTTCTAACCTCCTAACTGGGTATCACTCGATATCTCTTGTATACCATCTGAATTTCAGTGTTAACTTGTTACATTATAAAGTATTGGGATCAGGAAAACTCATACAAAAGTCCTTTGTGTTACGTTTGGTATTGGATAGAACAAGGGATGGACCAATATGCGATGAGATACGTTCAATTCAATGTACTGCCATCCCCTGACCCTGCAGCGTATATCAAGGAGCTGCCACACCTTGTTCGCAGGATGGTCATCCACAAGCTGGGGGGGTTGACGGGGGTCTAGCTTGAGGGCACAACGGACTAGATACCACAGGTTTTAGTAGGGACACATGAAACTTGGCGGACAGCCACGGAACTGACAACCCTCTCTGTCTCATAAGGGCTGAGACCGGAGAGGGATGTCCTTAGCAGAGAGCCAGACCCGTTTCCCCGGCTGTTAGGACAGGGCCAGAAGACAGTGTTTGTCTGCTGTTCTCTTTGTCCTGCCGCTGGTCCTAAGGAGCACCGCCCGGGCTAGTCTCCGACTCTTCTGATGCGGCGCATGTTCACCTGAGGAGACAGAACTGCCACCCCCATCTCCTGTACAGGTAACAGAGGGGGTTGGTAGCCTAGGACAACATGGAATGGAGACATACCTGTGGCGGAGCTGGTTAGGGAGTTGTGGGCGTATTCGGCCCATGGGAGGAACGTTTTCCAGGTGGAAGGACAACACAACGGAGCGCTGCCCTCAGATCCTGAATGGCCCTCTCAGTTTGTCCATTGTTTTGAGGGTGATACCCTGAGGATAGCCTGGCTGAAGCTCCCAAGACTAGGCAGAATGTTTCCAAACCTGGGAGGAGAACTGCGGACCCCTGTCGGTCACGACATCTTGGGGAATGCCGTGCAGGCGGACAATGTGCAAGACCAGAAGGGCCGCACAGTACAGCCTTTGAAAAACAATCTACAATGCTTCGGGATCTTCAGGGGTTGGAGTAGATCAGACAAGGGTTGATGATTTGCTCCAAGCACCCACTGTGCAAGTAGCCACAAAGTCTCGGGTGTTGGGCCATGAAGGGCCACCAGAAGTGTAACCGACATGCTGTGCACCCGTTTTAAAGGTGGATACTTAAAGAATGATCAACCAAAAGAGGAGTGATTGTTATGTAATTTCTGTTTGAGTTAAGTCTACTTTATACTAGTCATTTAAATTGTACTATATAATAATAATAATAAAGATAATAATAATCTATATAATATAAATGCAACCATTTTACAATACACACAAATACTAAAAAAGTACACTTCATATTACATTACCTTGTTTGAATGTGGAAGTTATTTGTGGTCCCTGTATGTTCAAAGTCATGGATTGCTGCTGCAAACATGATGGCAAAGATCTCCAACGCAGTTAACCAGTGCTGAAATAAGTTGATTAATAAAGATTATGACATCATTAGAAAATAGAAATCGGATTTTCAGAAAGGTTAGTACAGTTATTAAAAAGGCAAAAAAGGATTTTAATAATTCACTTCTTATTGCAACACCTGAACTAATGATAGATTAGCAATAGATTTGCTACCTCAGTGTTGCCAGAGATACCTCATGTATATTTCTTTGGAACTTCTCTTTAGAATATAAAGATGAGGAAAAAGACCCAAGGAATCTTTGCAGAATGGCCAGTTGTTGAAGACTGACCATTACAATAATGGCAATTGTAAGAATTTTTATTATTTTTATTTACAAGCGCCTTTCAAAACACCCAAGTCACCATAAAATGATAAAACAAAACAATGTATACGCAGATAAAACCTATATAGAAGTGCAATCATAGTGAATATGCTGTTTGGAATAGGTTCGTTTTGAGAGTGGATTTGAACAGGAGAAAAGTAGAAAGTAGAGAGAAAAGTAAATGTTATGGATGTCTGGTGGGAAGTTCTAGAGTTGATGAGCAAGGCAGCTAAAGACAGTTGGAGGGCACAGTGAGGTAGATAGAAAAGGAGGATCTGATGGGGCAGGAGGAGGTAGTGATGGTCAGGCTGAAGTTGAAGCAGGAAACGTTCAAAAGATTAAGCTTCACTTGTCTCACAAGACACATCAGACAGAAATAATGAACAGAGCTTTGGAGGTCATTGATCTTGTGTTTTGCAAAACAAAACAAAGCCTTGACATTTTTGTATATAAATCAGCTAGGAGGTGCTTCATGCTTCAGATGAATGAAACAAAGCTCTTATTTGAGGCTTTAAAAGAAATGATTTGATGAATAAGTTTCGGTAGTACTAAAAGAACGCAGATCCACAGCATGATTTGATGAATAAGTTTCGGTAGTAATTTTGTCAGCGAGACAGCGATCATGATCTATACATTTATTTGAGACATCAATAGTAATGGCCAACCAAGACTTCATGAATTTTCATTTAAAGCATGTGTGACACTTGAGAGATACAAGTTGGAATAGTGGTGGATCTCCTCCTTGACCATCTGGGTATTGAGTTTGACACTGGTTGAAGACAAAGTCATTTAACTGAAATAATTTAAAAAATGGGTAATTTACCCTTAGATTTGGTAACACATTTTTAATATTACATATTATTATATTAATAAGTTTAAAGTTTAAGTTTTTAAGTTTAAAGTTTAAGTTTAAAGTTTAATATATTATGTTTTTATTATTAATTATATTAATATTAAGTATTAATTATAAAAATACAGTCATTCAGTGGTAGATTTTGCAAAGAGAATAGAAATGGCTGTGGTAAACACCTATTTCCAAAAGAAAGAGGTACACAAGGTGATGTACAAGAGTGGAGGCAGGTCCACACAGATAGATTATATTCTATGTAGAAGAGGTAATTTGAGGGAGATTAGAGACTGTAAGCTGGTGGCAGGTGAGAGTGTAGCCAAACAACATTGCATGGTAGTGTGCAAGACGACGATGGAGGTGAAAAAAAGGAAGAGAGTGAAGACAAAGCAGAAGATCAAGTGGTGGAAATTAAGGAAAGAGAAATGTTGTGAAGACTTCAGGAAATGATTAGGGGCAGTCCTGGGCTGTGTTGAGAAATTCCCAGATTATTAGGAGACTACAGCTACAGTGGTTAGGGAGACAGGTAGGGAGGTGCTAGGGATGTCCTCTGGGCAGAAAATGGAGAACAAAGAGACCTGATGGTGGAATGATGAGGTCCAGGAGTGTGCAGAGAAAAAGATTAGCGAAGAAGAGATGGGACAGTAACAGAACAGAGGAGAACAGACTGGAGTACAACGAGAGGACAAGGGAGGTGAAGAGGGGAGTGGCCAAGGCCAAACAAAAGGAGGAGTTATATGAGAGTTTGGACACAAAGGAAGGAGAAAAGGTGTTGTATATATTGGAGAGACAGAGAAATCAAACTGGGAAGGATGTGCTGCAGGTGAGGTTGATTAAGGACAGAGATGGGAATGTAATCACAAGTGAGGGAAGTGTGCTGAGAAGATGGAAGGAATACTTTGAGGAGTTGTTGAATAATGCAAATAAAAGGGAACATAGGAATGAGGAGCCAGAAACTATTAGAAAGAAGGTAGATCAGAATAGAAAGGATGAAGTAGGAAAGCCCTGAAGAGGATGAAGAGTGGAAAATCTGTTGGTCCCGATGACATACCAGTGGAAGTATGGAAGTGTTTAGGAAAAGTGGCGGTAGATTTCCTGACTGGATTGTTTAACAGAATTTTAGAGACGGACAAGATGCCTGATGAGTGGAGGAAAATTGTATTGGTGCCAATTCATAAGAAGGGTGATGCACAGAGTTGTAACAACGACAGAGGAATAAAGTTGATGAGTCATACAATGAAGATTTGGGAATGAGTAGTGGAAGCAAGGTTGAGGCAGGAAGTGGAGATTTGTGAACAACAGTATGGTTTCATGCCTAGAAAGAGTACCACAGATGCAATATTTACCTTGAGGATGCTGATGGAGAAGTACAGAGAAGGTCAGAAGGAGCTACATTGTGTATTTGTAGATTAAAAGGCAGAACAGTGAAATAGTGAGCTGCAGGAGTTTAGGTACTTGGGATGAACTGTTCAGAGCAGAGAAGACTGTGGAAGAGAGGTGAAGAATAGAGTACAGGCAGGATGGAACAGCTGGAGAAAAGTGTCAGGAGTGATCTGTGATAGAAGAGTGTCACCTAAGGTGAAGGGAAAGGTTTACAGGACGGTGGTGAGACCAGCCATGATGTATGGTTTAGAGACAGCAGCAATAGGCAGAAGACAGGAGGTGGATCTAGAGGTGGCAGAGTTAAATATGCTAAGATTCTCTTTAGGAGTGACAAGAATGGACAGGATCAGGAAT